GAAACATGAAAAGTAAATTCAGTGTATAGCCCTTAATTAGCTTCCTTAAAATTAAGCTAAAGAGGACATTGTTGGAACAACTGGACAAGTTTTTTAATATAGACTATATATTAAATAATAATATTGCATCAAATTCTATTGAATTGTATCAAACCAAAATTTAAACATTATTTGATATGCTAATTTTTAGATTATGTAATAAAACAGCCTTATTCTTTTTTCTCGCTCTTTTTTTTCTGTATGTGTAGTGTGTGTATGGTATATGCATGTGTGTGCACATGGGTTTGAGCATGCATGCCTGTGCATGCATGTGCAGAGATCAGAGAAGAATGCTGGGCAGCTTCCTCACCACTGCTGGTCTTATTCATTTGATCTAGGGTCTCTCACTGAACCTGAAGGTCACTGTCTAAGGTAGGCTGGCTAGTCAGAGAGCTCCTGGGATCTGCTTGATCTGATGCCTAGTGCTTGGGTCACAGGCATGCTCAGTCATGACTGGGTTTTACATGGGTGCTAGGGATTTGAACTCAAGTCCTCATGCTTTCACTGCAGGTGCTCTTATCCTCTGAGCCATCTCTCAAACCTCAATATCATTATTCTTTAGGGTATATATACTAAAATATATTTAGGATAACATGTTATTAATGCCTTCAATTTATTCTTAAATGATTTTTCACAAAATAATATATGTAAAATGTATATATAATTTCATATACCAACTTAGATACAATTTTTAAGATAACAAATTGGGGAAAATAAAGGGTAAATTCTAATCAAATGCCAAGAAAATTTAATATAAAAAGAATTCACATCTAGGCATATTTAGAACGCATTTTAGAACTCAAAAGTTTAAAGATTATACCCTAAAATTTTTCAGAGAGTCATAAATAGACTCATACAAAGCATCTCTGGTATAAATAGAAGGTAAGAGAACAATGTCATCCAAGTTCTTAGAGAAATTGAGTTTGAACATAGACTTCTGTGCCTAGCCAACAGAACTTAAACGTGAGCACAGAGGGGAGGGACAGGGAGAGAGGACGTGTAAAGACAAATACTGTGCTCCACAGTTCTCCTCTGAAATGAGACAAAGGAGCAATCTGCACATGCTTTCAAGTCACCCAGCCTTCGAAGTTTGAAAAGCAGAGGGCTCTTTTGGGGAGTCACTTTTGGCCCACCCCCAAATCACCCAACTCAGGCTCAGGTCCACAGGCTAACTCTGCCTAGAGGTGAGTGGCAAATGGACCAACTGTACTTGCAGGAGGCAAAATACAAATGGTTTTCAGAGGTCATTGCCCTCAGACTGTGAAATGGCAATGTACTAAATTGTGTGCTTAATTAATTTCCACCCAACAGCATACCATAAAATTGGAAAAACAATTCCTCAGGCAAGTACATCCCCCAGGATCGATGTGCATAAAGTATACTGCCAAGGATCCAAACTTCTCATCAGGCAGCTTGTGTCTCTGCTTTGGTTCAGTGTTCAGAGGTGCCTTTCTGCTGTTTGTTGAGAGGTACACAGTTCCTACTTAATTATTTGTCTTTCTCCTTGTGTTGCTACCAAATGGGACAGAAACCACAGAGACAAGTATGTTACTAGCTCCTAAAGGAAAGCCTCCTGCTAGAGTTTCCCGTGAGTAACCAGTCTCTTCACAGGACGCTTTTGTTGTTACTATTTTTCTAATTCAAAAATAAAAAATAAAAATCACAGGAGGATTGGTAAGAGGAGGAGAGGGGTAATGATTGTGGCGTCTATTTCATGAACACTCAGTGATTTAGAACAATTTTAATTACTGTAGAATTATGTCTGCAAAACAGCTACAGCCACTCAGGACCTTTGACTTATCTTTACGTAGATAGAACTGGTAAAAGAAAGAAGCCAGGGACTCCTCCCAAGCCCATGCAACCCCTGAGGAACAGATCTTCCAACAACCTGAAGAGTAAAAATAAATAGATTTATTTGGGCCAACTGTATGGTCTTAAACACCCAAAAGGAAAGTATAACCAAAGATTAAAGTGATCAGCATATTTCTTTAAGAGTTCAAGGGATTTCAGTTCATAGACATTAGGCTTAAGTCCATATAAAATGTTATTTGGACAATTATTTCTCATTGATGATTTTGTTTCTAAGCAGAAAGTGCTGCTGAGATGTAAGACTTCAAATCTTGGTCTACAGTACTGTAGTGCCCACTTGTACCTAAGGGAGACAACCCGCTATTCTTCTAAAATGATGGATAAATTTGTTTTCTCCCCTATCTAGAAGCCTTTGAGAGGGAACTCACACTGATTCTAGCCGCTCCAAGAGCTACCAAAGTGCCTGAAAACAAATCCTGAATCTATCACTCTCGAGTCCAGCCTTGGCAGAAAGAAAAATGAGGAGGAACCCAATAGAGGGATGCTTTTGGAAGCTCTTGTCAAGAAATCCCAATGGACTCTGATATGAACTTTTGCAATTTTCCCTGTTCTGATTTTTTTTCTGGTTCCTTGTCTATAACTTGTAATGCTAAATACTCTTGCCTTTACTTCACATCTCCTAGGCACCAGTCAAGGATTTTCTTTTCTCCCTACGTATAAAAGTTATGCAATTTGGGAGTCTTAGATAGACCCACCAAAGGGATACCCCAATTGCCTCACCCTGTGTCCCTGTTTATCAGGGAAGAAGCCAAAGCGGTCTATGTCCCAATTCCTTATCTGTAAGTTGGGTAACCTCTTCAGAGGATGGTGTGGTAAGAATAGGAAGTAAGACTTAGCTAGGCAGTTAGGGGTCAAAAGACCCCAAAGAAAAGTAGCCAGTTTCTTGGCTAAAAGCAAAATGTCGTGGGACCTCTTAGCGACATACTCTGTTCCAAAGGCCAAAAATGTCAAAAGTATTTTGGAGCGTATATCTAATCCTTAAAAGATTTTAGGGTTACCTCTTCAGAGGGGGGAATGTTAGAGAGAGAGGGGAATGTTTAGCAAAAACCCCATTAAGAAAAAAAAGAAGAAAGAATACATGAAGTAAAACAGAAAAAAGTGATGGGGAGATATGGAAGGAGTTGGAGGGGAGGGAGTGGGGGTGGATTTGATCAGAACACCTTATATGCACGTATGAAATTCTCAATAAAGTTTTTTTTAAAAGTTCTCAAAAAGACAAAAAAAAAAAAAAACTAGGCAAAAGAGTAAAAAACACAAAAGAGATACCCTGTTTTCCAAACCACATAATGTTGTATAGCAGCTTTATCGTTATTTGTGTAGTGTTTGCTGTTGTCACCTCCAGCACTTTAAATTCCATGAGAAACTGACTGTGGCTGACGCTGGTCACACATGCTTGTAATCTTAGCATTCAGTATACTGAGACCAAGGGCTGCTCAGAGGCAGGTGGATCTCTGTGAGTTTGAGGCCACCAGGGCAGTCAGGGCTATATAGCAAGATCTTATCTAAAGAAGGGTAAAGAGGGAGCAGCGTGTGCAGAGAACAGAAGGAGGATGGACGCGGGGGGCGGGGGGTAATTATCTTTCTTGTTTGGGTTTTTTGGGGGGTTCTCTGTGAGTTTGAGGTCAGCCTGGTCTCAAACTCACAGAGAACCCCCTGCCTCTGCCTTCTGAGTGCTGGGATTAAAGGTGTGTGCCACCACACTGGCTCCTTCCATGCACTTCTAAAAACACCCAAGTGCTTTGTGGTCTTGCTGTGTAAGCAGGAGTGTGGTTTTGCCATTGGCACTTTTGTCATAGTATATCCCTTCCTTTAATCCTGCACTTCTCTAGTTTTTTTTGTTTTTTGTAATTATCAAAAAATGTATTTTAGCCAGGTGTGGTGCACATTTTTAATCCCAGCACTTGGGAGGCAGCAACAGGCTGGATCTCTGTGAGTTCAAGGCCAGCCTTTTTGAGACAGGGTCTCCGTGTAGCCCCAGCTGGCCTCAAACTCACTATGTAGACCAGGCTGGCCTTGAACTCACAGAGAACCCCCTGCCTCTGCCTCCCAAATGCTGGGATTAAAGGTGTGTGCCACCACGCCCAGCTTGCCATTTGTCTTTCTTCCCCTCTATTATTTCTCAGTCAAGCCCAAAATTTGGCACTTAACTGATACTCAATAAATATTTGTAAGTGAATGTGAATGGACAGTGAATAAACAACAAAGCCAGGGCTCAAACCTTATTCTCTGGCTTGTAGGTAATTTCCATGGTACCAGGATACCACCCTGTGGTTATAAAGATTTTCAAGGTGAAATAAGAGACTGTAACAGTATACTTAGACCAAGAACTATAATCTCCCATCTAATTTCATGGAACCAATTTAGAGCCTTGTTTCTAGAAAGTCTGAATTTATTCACTTGAGGCCAGGAAAGGTAAACACAAGTCTTAGTGAATGGACAGTGCATTGCTGTGAACAGCTACCCAGGATGAGGCCCTTCACATGGTACTTCAGCTAATGACACTTGAATGTCTCAACATAGTAAGTCTGGATCATATGGCCGGGCTCTCTCCACACAGAAGGAAGCATTGAAGGATAGAGAGCCAAGGAATTGGAAGGCAGATCCATACTCTGCTGTAGGCTGAGAGAGTCAGCGTCTGGGATCAGAGCGAACAGCAGGAGCTCCTATTCTTCCTGCCTTGTGTCATCTGCTCCTTGCCCTTTTACTGACTCCTGCTTCTGAGACCAAAACCCAGCATGTGTTCATTCACAGGTTAAATCCCTGCTCCTAAGAAGGTGATCTAAGTCGCTCCTGACGTATTACAAAGTAACTCTCCATCAAAGTAAGGTCTTTAATTTTATCTTGATCTTTTGGTAGCATTAACCTTAACTATCATTCCCAGGATGTTATGCAAGCATGCTATACAGATACACAAGAACACAGATACACATACAGAGGTGCACGTGTGCGCACGCACACGCAATTGTTTTATGAAAGGTGTTAGGGTCAATGACGCATTTGACTCAAAGCATAGTTAATCCCGACAATAACATCCTTAGTATAGAATTTGCCCTTGTGATTTCTTATCTTCTTCATCAAATGCCCTTACTTAGGAAAGGAAGCTAGTGGAGGAGCGAAGACTTTGGACTGCAAGATGGATGAGAGTGCTGAGTCTCCCGCCCTGGAGGACTCCTCGTCACCCCCTGCAGATAGCCAGCAGCACTCCTGGCAGGTTTCCACAGACATTGAGAACACGGAACGGTAAGTGGAAAGTTCCCCTGAAGAGACTGCTAATCCTTCTCTAGTCAGCTTTCTTAGGGGCCACCACGAGTGGAGGGTTTTCTACTTGAGGTTTAAAAGAAACAGGGCTCTCTTGGTCTGCCAGAGCAGCCATGCTGACAGGGACGTGGGGGCTGCCTAATCTGCAGAGAGAAAACTGAGACGAGAGAGGGGGCGTTAGTCAGGTTTTCAGGTTTGTATCATTATGACAAAAGACCTGAGGAAAACAACTTCGAGGTGAGATTTACTTTGGCTCATGATTTCAGAGGTTTCTGTCCATGGTCAGCTGGCTCCATTGCTCTCAAGCCTGAGGCAATCAACATACAACTCCTGGGGGAGCCTAAGAGAGAAGAGGTTGCCTATCTCCTGACAACCAAGAAGCAGAAATAAAGCTGAAGGGCTGAAGGCAAGATACGTCCTTCAAAAGCACTCCGGGGTGACCTAAGACCTACTTCCATCAACTAGCACCCACCTCCTAGTTTCCACCACCTCCCAGTAATGCCATCGGATCATTGATCCATCAGTCCTTTAACCTGCTGCTTAGGTCAAAGCCCTCATGATTCAGTCTCCACTTAACAGTGTCTCCATCTGAGGACCAAGCCTTTAACATATGAGACTTTGGGGACATTTGATATCCAAACCACAATAAAGGATAAGTAGCTGGTATCAACAGGGGAAGGGTCCAGGATCTACAGTAGAAACAGGCATCAGACCTCTCCTTACCCCAGCATATTGCATCTAATCTCCAAGGAAAATGGAAACAATCCGGGCATGATAGTGCACACCTGTAATCCCAGCACTCAGGAGACCCTGTCTCAAAAAGAAAGGAAAAGGAAGGAAAGGAGAGAGAATTGGAAAGAGAGGGGAAGGGGAAGGGGAAGGGGAAGGGCAGGGGAAGGGGAAGGGCAAGGAGGAGGAAACCCACCCTCTCAGGCTGTCTCCTAGTATTTCAGCCTTAGCTTACCAAAGCCAGATCTGAGGGGAGGGGAAAGGGCAGGGGAAGGGGAAAGGGAAGGGGAAGGGGAGGGGAAGGGGAAGGGAACCATGCTTCCCTGGAAGAGAGAAAGAAAGGTGAAGCTATTATCAGCACAGCTCACCCTCTGGGCTAGTTCCTAACTTTCCATTTGTTTAAGGGAAAAGGATCTAAAATCATCCAAAGATGCTTCTAGTAGACTTTGAGATTTTAAGCATATGGAATGTCCTGCTTAGTTAGTTTGACCAATTCACAGTTTTCCAGAGCCTCCTCTTCCTCTAACATGTACCTGATGGCCCCTTCGTGGTCACAGTGAGTTAGTGCATTGGCTTCAGCAGCTCACTAGAGTTTTTTTTTCTTGAGAAGGAACAATTCTATAATGATTCTATTTCATTTAGGAATAAAACAATAACAATACCAGGACCATATTCCATCTAGATGTTGAAACTACTGTTTTGTGAGGCAGAAGGGTATGGTCTGGGGGTACTGGCCTTCATACTAATATCTGTACCCTTCTTTCACTCCCCAGAGCAGGTACAAAGCAGCTGAATGAACTTAGGGAAATTCCTCTCTGTGCTCTGTGTGTATGGGGTTGAGTCACTGACAAGATAATGAACATTTTATTTTTTATTTTTAGAATGGAACACACAATGGCATTTATAGCCATTGTAGCTCTACTTTGAGATTGTAATATTATTCTAAAGCTAATTACCGAATTTCTGTGTTTATAGAAAATGGAGCATGTGGTAATTATGTGCTATTAATAAAACTTGAATTTTGTAAAGACTTGGATATCCAGCAATTCAAGTAATAAAGCTTGTTTCATCTCGTTTTGATAGAAATATGGACAAATGATGAAAGACTGGTATATCTTAATTTATAAAATAGAAAATTCTTTATTCTATTCCTGGCAGGGGGGTGGGGGAGTTTACATCTTTCAGAATGTCATGGTCAGAGCAGAAGCCATCAGCAAAGCCATCTTCCTTTTCAGACACCTCATCTCATACTTTAAGAAAGCAAGTGTGGCTGGCAATGATGGTGATCAGACTGGAGGTCCAGATTCTGGTCAAAGGAGATGGGCAAGCCTGGGGGAAGTAGGCATCAGGACACCGACACAGGGCAGAGCTTTGGTTTTCCTCTCTGCCCAGAGCTCAGTGGGTCTCAAACTAGGCTATATATTTTAGCTCACCAGGAGAGCTCTTTAAAATCATTGATGACTCCCACCCCAAGCCAACCCTATCAAGTTCTTCAGGGGGTAGGGGCATAGGTGATTGCCTAGCATTTCAGTAAGATGGTAGTTGGTGCTTCATCCTAATGTTCCAGTGGTCTTTCTACCCAGCCACAAGGTTACTTTGTTTTCCTTTTCCAATCAGCAATTCCTAAGACTTGAATTCCTTTCCATATGATACCCTTGAGGAGGAAGGTATGCTTGTGGCCTCATCCTAGCACAGTGGCCTTCAAACTCTATTCAATAGTGTTGTTTTGTGAAATGGACCCAAAGTTTCACACCTAAAACTAAATGGCAGTTCTCCCTCAAACAAAACAATCACTCAAACCCAGTGGATATAAATCCTTCAACTTTAGGTTTTCTTTTTTCTTTCCTTTTTATTTTTTCGTACTAGATATTGAACCTCTGAGCCTATGCATGCTAGGCAAATATTCTACCTCTGAATTCTATCTCTAGGTCACCCTTTTTTTCCTTTTAACATTTTGTTTTGAGGCAGATCCTCAGTAGGTTGCTCAGGTTGGCCTTGAATTACTCTGTAGCTTAGAAGTTGAGGCCTGTGAAACCAGCTTTAGTTCAACTGTAAGATTTTCTTCCCCCACAAACATTCTTTTAAATTTTTTTTCTTTAGTAATTAATTTGTGTGTGGGTGTGTGACTGAGAGAGCAGGGGTGGGGGGAAATGTACATGCCATGGAGATGTACAACCAGTGCTCTTAACCATTGAACCATCTCTCTAGCCCCACACAAACATTTTTAAGTCCTTGATACTTGCTAATATTTGCCTATCCTAAAGTTACTTAAAAGATGTCTGGCGTGGGACTGGAAAAATGGCTCAGTGGTTAAGAGCACTGGCTGTTCTTACAGAAGACCGGGGTTCAAATCCCAGCATTCCCATGGCAGCTAACTGTACGTAACTCCAGTTCCTGGGGATCTGATGCCCTCTTCTGTTCTCCACAGGCACTGCCCAACATGGGCGCACTTACATACATGCAGGCATAACACTCATAAACATAAAATAAAAATAAATTTTTTCAATACATCTGGTTTGGACACCAAATGATATATTTTGCTGTTGATGAACTGTACCACTATATTCTGCAGTTCAAGAGCACTATCTTCATTGCACAAGTACCTAGATGTATGTGGACACCAATCTCCTGGGGAGTTTAGAAGGCCAGCTCCACTGTACCCTAGGCTAGATGCCCCTGAGATGGCTGCTTGCCTGACAGGATTTGGGTTTTTAGGATCATTTGCCCTCTGAGATGAGGATGAATGCTAGAGGTGTGCACTGGCATGAGGAACCAAGGAGCTGGAAGGACAGGGTAGGGGCTAGAGGAAGGCCAGTTGTCCCCAGATGGCCTTTCTCCTCCAATATATCTACTATGGAGAGTTCGTCTCTGGGGGTTTTAGAATGTATGTCAGACCTGGTAGTACAAGCCCATCCCAGTACTCAGAAGGCTGAAGCAGGAGGATCACAAGTTCAAGACCATCCTCTGAGACCTTGTCTGAAGGAACTAAGGGTTGTGAATGTAGCTCAGTGGTTGAGAGCTTCCCTAGCACTCTCAAAGCTCTGGGTTTGATCTCTAAATAAATAAATAAATAAATAAATAAATAAATAAATAAATAAATAAACTCTCCTATCATTCAGTTCTAAGCATTGACCTTCATGAGTGCTAAACAGCTGATCATGGCAGGTGAAACTTTTAAATGAAGCAGAAAATAGTAGGAATCTGCACAGGAGCATAGTCATCTGACCATAAGCCTCAACAGTTCCATCTCCAAGCCTCGACTTGCCCCAGGGGCCCACTGTTCCAGTTGTGTGCCCTTGGCCTCTTCCTGTAGATACACAGTATTGTCCTCATTACCAAGGCTCTTCCCTGAGCTCAGCCAGGTCCAGCTGAAGGCAGAGATGCAGAAGCCCTTCTGTGGCCACAAGCAAGGAGCCCTCATTCCTTCTGGCGCCGACCCATCTCAGATTGGTTTTTTTTTTTCTTGTAAAAGCAAAGTAAATTCAATATTTACCTACCAGAAACTAGAGCTAGTATGGTTCCAATAGAATCTTGCCCTTTGTCTCATCGAACAGACTGTTTGAGCTTTCGTTTTGAAAATATACAGCTAATTTTTCTTTCTTTTTATCAATTTTACAGAGACATGCGAGAAATGAAAAACCTTTTAAGCAAACTCAGGGAAACTATGCCTTTACCATTGAAAAATCAAGGTGAGTCTTGTGATTTCTTTTTTGAGACAGAGAATGAATGTTTTCAAAGGAGGAATGCAGGGGCCTGGAGAAATGGCTCAGCAGTTAAGAACACTGACTGTTCTTGCAGAAGACCAGGGTTCGAATCCCAGCACCCACATGGCAGCTCACAAGTGTCCATAACTCCAGTTCCAGGGGATCTGATAGCCTCTTCTATCCTCCGCGGGCACTGCACAACACAAGTGCACTTAATTACATAGGCAATACATTCATACACATAAAATAAAAATAATAAATAAAATATTTTTTAAAAAAAGATCACTGGCTGCTGGGATTAAAGGCATGCACATAAAATAAAAATAATAAATAAAATATTTTTTTAAAAAAGGATGAATGTGGGACTTGCTTCCTAGCAAGTGTTTTCTACAAACAGTAGAAGGCATCGGAGGCACATTTGTTTTTCTTCAAGAATATGTGATGAGGCTACTGTCTCAATGAGTAAATTTTCTCTGATGGAGGCAGGGACATACTGACCTGAAAAAGGGTCCCCACATCCCTACCAGACCATGCTATGGAAAGCACCATTTTAGGTGTGGCTACACAGCAGGACCAAGAACTTGGCTCTTGCCTGCACAAGGTTTTTAGACTAGTGGAGGAAGATCTCTCCATTTACTTGTCTAATTATCTAAAACTAAGAATCATAATTCCTACACATTGGGAATTACAGTGTGTCACTATCGTGAATATATGTATTAGCTGTGCTGGCCTGCGTAATTCATTTCTTTTTTTCCCCATGTTGTGGATCAAACCCAGGGCTTTATATGTTGGGCAAGTACTCTACCACTGAGCTACATTCCTAGACTCTTATTTAAACCTCATAGCAACCTTGAGGGTGATACTGTTACTGTTTTCCTAATGTACAGGGAACTGAGACATGGGGGTTAACTTGTCTAAAGTCATACAGACTGTAGGAGAAATACTGGGCTGTGAATTTGAACTCTGGCAGCCCATCTTCAGAGCTATGCAAGAGGACAACCTGACACAGACAAGGAAGGGGTATTCACCAGAATGAGGGAAGGGCCTCTCTGATTTCATTAGCTATTGTAGCCCCAGTATCTAGAGTCTGGGGCTTGGTGGAGTATCATCATCTGGCACAAACAATAAATAGTTGTTAAATCTGTACCCAGCTTTGCAGCATCTGGAACTAAAGATGTGTTCAAAGGCAAATAGTAAGTGCTTTTATATTAAACACACTCGGCTAGAGCAGCCATAGGCAAAGCATCAGTCTCAGAAAGTGGTACCAAGAGGATGGGGAAGGCTTTGGAGAGGCAAGAAAGAAACCCCTCTTGCTTTACTGAGCAGAGCCTGGGCGGGAGGGAGGACAGCATGCTGTTTGCCTGGGAGCAAGTGAAGCTGAGTGAAGAGGAGGAGAGGAGGAGGATTTGGCAGCTGAGCTGAAGTGCCTCTAGCTCGGGGAGCATCTCGGCAGAAGGTAGAGAGGTGGAGGCGAGAACACCAGACAAAGATGCTCCGGAGCAGTGTAGCCTGCACTGCACTGGAGAGCTGAGTCCGAGCATGAGGCAGGGGAGGAGGCATAGCACGTAGTTCCAAGCACCCCTGGAGAGCCTGGCCTCCAAGACCAACTGCCCGGAGCCTGTCAGTGAACTTCAGAGAACTGAAGAGAGTAGACACACAGTAATGGGAGATTGCTTTGACCACAATGCAGAAGGCTGCAAGAAAGTGCGGGCTTCCAATGAAAGGATGGGTTAAAGGTAAATTTGGGTTCAGATACTGGCTCTGCCACTCTACAACTTGTGACCTGGATCAAGTTGTTTGACTTCAGGAAATTTCAGTTTCCTTGTTTGTGAAGGGGGAATGACAGTGACCCTACTTCCTAGGGTTGCTGTGAGGCTGAAAGGGGCAGTGTGCCACATACCTACTACTAACCTTACAAACAACAGAAATTCATAGGAAGCTTTATTGTTGTGTTTAACACTGTTCTTATTACTTACTAAGCTGACCCACCCAGCTTTGCTCCAATTTACCATCAACTCAAATTCACCCTGCAAAAGACCGTGTGTCATGTCCGTGTCAAATAAGTCTTGAGCCTCAGGTCAGAGCACTGGCCCCTGGGGCTTTAAATTTTGTGCACATATCCTACATATCAATCAGTTTGGAAAGTCTGCCCAATGGATAGCACTGGGGTCTCTTGCTGGACCACAAGTTCAGCTTCCAAAGAAGGTAACTGCCCAAGGTGCACAGTCTGAATTTCATGATGCTATGAAACCTATATTTTAACTCAAACTATCTTGAACATCCCTTCTACAACCAGTCCTACTTCAGGCAGCCATTTTGGAGCTGTGTGCTGATAGAAAATCAGAAATTTCATTTTTATTTCCCATAATCACAGAAGATGAAATATAAAAATTTTTTGAAAATTTTTGAAATTTTTAAATTATTGTAATTTTAAATACATTTATAAAAATAACAAAAGTAATAAAGGTTGGTACTATTAGTGAATGCAGAAAAGGGAATAGTCATCCAAATAAATAGCATCAGGTCTCACTCCAGAGTCCATTTGGAGAATGAAAAGGAAAATTCATGGATTTACTCAGAAGGAACTGACTCAGTAATATTTTAACAGTGAAAAAATATTGAGGTGAAGAACTTTGGGAAATTCAGGTGTCTCATTTTGTGGAGAAATGAGTATACTTTGCAGAGTTCCATATCTCTTCTCCACACGGCCAGCCTCCACTCCCAGAGTGCTGTCACTGTAAGTCCATAGTGAGGAGCGGGATGTGAGAATGGAAGGAAGGGTCCAGCTAGGACCCAGGGAAGGAGAACAAGGCTCTTGGGATGTTTTCTGATAGACACATATGGCAGTGCCATTTCAATTCATTACAGAAATCATCCAAATTCTTCTCTCTGAATACATAGAAAAGATGGCCAAAGAGCTGTCCCATGTTGGGACAGGTCTAGGGTAAGATGTGCAGGAAATGGAGTAAAGTGTGGGAAAATTATTCCAGTTCTTTCCTTGAGAACCTTATTGTCAAAGCCTGATTCTAATTGGTTGAAAACCATTATTGAAAGCCATCTGCTTCCTTTCTGGCTTATTTCCTTTCTGTTTTTATTCCATTCACATGTGTGTTGGAAACAGAACGCAGGAAAGCCTACCACTGCTGATCCTGGCTTCTCCTGCTTGGACCACTGACTGTATGAACCCCTGCCAGCTTAGATTACCCTCTTCTCCAGGCTCCGTTTCAGTCCTCCACTCAGAAATGGTTCTAGGTTTATTTGAGGACTTAATCATATCTGTTCCACTTCCTATACACTCAAAATTTGACTCAACAAAAAGTTTAGTTTCAACTGATTTTCAGTGGAATAAAAAAAGGAAGAGTGGCCAAGGACAGAAATTTGAATGATCCATGATGGCACCTTCATTTTAGACATTGCCTTTTTTGTTGGTGTCCTTCCAGCTTAAGCCTGGAGACAGGAAGTTGCCCAGAGGGGGTAAGCCACCCTTGTTCTGTGGTACCTCCATGGCAGGCTGCAGGCAATGTCCAGATCTCCTGGCTATAGGCCCTCTGTTCTTTCCCCTGCTTCAGCGCCTCTCTCGTCCTCCATTCTGGGTCATTGGCAGTGCTGTAGGGAGCTTCATTAACTATGATCATCTTGCTGTGTCAAATGGATTACAAATGGAACCACCTGTGGGGAGCCTGCAAGGTTGCTGACAAAGGCTAAAAGGAGATTGCAAAGTGAAGAACAAGCACCTTTTAAGCGCATGCTGTTACAAAACAAAACAAATCGGCCAAAATACATTAAGCCTGAAAGACAGTTTCACCTCTTCTACAATTCTGACTTAATGAGTGCTATGGGATATGTTGGTATCTTTGCTCTTGCATCAAATTCAGTTGTTGATAGCGTTTATTAGAATCAGAACTGAATCTCTTCTAGAATGGACACTAGGCTCTGGACAGTGGTACTCCAGACTAAATTGGGCCTATGAATAGTTCTTGACTCACTCTATCTTTCCCCATTCACTCCAGTCTAGACCCCCCAGATCTAGAACCAATCTGGCATGTAAGACAAAAGGGTTCTTGACAACCTGGCTAAAAAAACATGGGGCAGTTGTGTCACCCTCTACCCTAAAAGTGAACCTTTGGGTCCTTTTCCCTAATGTCAAATATGAAAATTTTCCATGAATCCACTTGATATCTGAAGGCTATTCTGGGAAATTTTACCAGTAGTTCCCTATCCTTTGTAATATCTACAACCTTTCATCCAGGATTCGGTGTGACATATGTAGTACCTCTCTCTCCCCGAATCCACACAGTCTTGAATGCATTCTGATTGTGCTGAGCCCCCACTCATAGAAGTTACCATCTGCTTGCTATCTACTAAGGGAAGAACAGACCTGGTATCCATTGTCCCATTGTCATCCAACATGTAATAGTCACCACCTATAATATGTCAAGCTCTGGGTTGGGTGCTGAGATGTCTCTGCCCCAGAGGGTAGCCCTCTCAACAGGGAGAACTAGATGAAAATCTCCTGAAAAACTCTTCCAAATGGCTGATGCCTACCCTTGCAGAGATCACAGGGGAGACTTCAGGGTAGGTGCATGAATTCTGAAAACAACCATCAAGTGCATGCATACACACCAACATTTTTGAAAAGACATGGAAGTTAACATTTAGAACATAATAATGTCATCATATTTAGATACAGGTTTTACAAGAACATGCTGGACTCCCACTGAGTCCAGATGTGAGTTTAAAATGAGAGAGATTAGTAGAGCTTGCCTTTTGGAAAGTATCTGAGCTAAGATTTTGTAGAGTGGGTAAGAGTTACTCAAAGAAAAAGATGGAAAAGAAAAGATAGTCTGTATAGAAGGTTCTGGATATGAGCAGGTATACAGAGATGAAAAGGCAGGGCGTTTAATGAACTATAGCACCTCAGTAACAGGGAAAGTGTGAAGGAATAAGAGAGAGGAAAGAGGCGAGGATCTATCTTTAAGGCCTCT